CAAATACTAGAATTATGGGTAGAGATTAATTAAATTGATTGCCTAAAATCTACACCCAATCATCCAGTGATTTGATCATTAATTAAATTGATTGCTTAAAATCATCCAGTGATTTGACCGAGAGGATTCAGCCGGTTTCCAAAGATAGAATACAGTTGTCCCATTTTTGCAGCTGTGACTCGATCTTTCTTTCTTGAGTACATTTTCAATGGTGGATCTTTATCATTACTTCCCTCCCGGTAAAACGTCTTGTCCACAAGACGGAATGTAGGGAATTGCTCAGCCATTGGATCATAGGTTTCCCATGTTGCCTCTTCTTCATGCCGATTACACCATGAAATCAACAATTCGAGGACCGGTTGGCCAGCTTCATAGACCCATCGATGAGTGATGACCGAGTTAGGTTGTACATCAATTTCCCAGTCTTTGGTGATGGGTAATGGGATATCTGGTACCGAAGAAAAAGAGCCATGGGCAGGTTTAAGCATCGAAATGTGAAATACCGGGTGGATTCTAGCTTCGGGTGGTAACTCCAGCTCATAAGCAACTGGACCCACTGCTCTTTTAACACGATATGGTCCAAAAAACCTTGGAGACAGCTTCTCATAACGACGTTTAGCCAAAGTCTTTTGGCGATACGGTTGAATCTTCAAGAAGACATAATCACCAACCTGAAACATGAGTTCCCGTCACTTCAGATTTGCTTGGTTTCTCATTCTGTCTTGGGCCTTTTGGAGGTTTTGGCGAAGAAGCTTTATCATATCATCCCGATCAACTAACTGTTGTTCCAGCTCTGCGTTTTTTGTTTCGCCCGCCGCATAGGGGATCAACGAAGGGGGTTCTCGACCATACACAACAGAGAATGGTGTTGTGCCAGTGGCCGTGTGGTACCCCGTGTTTTATGAGTATTCGGCCCAAGGTAAGTACGTACTCCATTTGGTTGGTTGTTCCCTAGCAAAGCAACGTAAGTAAGCTTCTAGGCAGCGATTCAGAACTTCGGTTTGACCATCCGTTTGAGGGTGGTAACTTGTGCTCAGTTTTAATTTTGTCCGACTTAATCGGAACAATTCTTGCCAAAAGTTGCTGAGGAAGACAACATCTCGATCAGACACAATGGATCGGGGAAAGCCATGCAACCTGACTATTTCCCTACTAAAAACCGCTGCTACTCCTTCAGCCGTATAGGGATGGGATAAGCAAATGAAGTGAGCATATTTGCTTAAACGGTCCACTACAACTAAAATAGTATCAAAACGACTAGATGGTGGTAATCCAACGATAAAGTCCATGGAAACATCTTCCCAAATCTGATTGGGAATGGGTTGGGGCTGCAGTAATCCTGCTGGAGCCGTCTGATACTTTTGTTGCTGACAGATTATACATTGTTGGACAAACTCCCTGACATCCTGTTTCATCTTTGGCCAATAGTAACGAGAAGAGTCTTTTGTAGGTTTTTAAAAAACCTCCATGACCACCGATTGGAGTGTCATGTGCTTCTTGTAACAGCTTGAGTTTGAGATTGTGTATCTCCGGAATCACCATCCGTCCATGATGAAACAAAAGCTGATCCACCAGCGAGAAATCAGGGACGGAGGAAGGATCAGTTTGCAACTTCTTGATCAGATCGCTGGTAAATGAATCAGTTTGCAACCCTGCCTTGATATCAACTACCTCAACACAAAAGGGGATGATAAGGGTTAATAATTCTCCCGAGTGGGGTCGGCGAGACAGGGCATCTTCCCCCTTGTTCTCTTTCCCAGCCTTATGAACAATTGAAAAATCATAAGGCATGAGTTTTAGCAAAAGCCTTTGCTGCTCTATAATGGTGATGCATTGTTCTAATAAGAATTTAAGGGTATAATGATCGGTGCGAATGAAAAAATGTCGGTCAAGCAAGTAATGGCTCCATTTTTGGACCGCGAGGACTAATGCCAACAGCTCCCTGTCGTAAGCCGATTTAAAGCGGTTAGATGGGGAGAATCCTTTACTGAAATAAGCCACGGGATGGTCCTCTTGTGATAGTATCGCCTCGACCCTATCTGATGATGCGTCACACTCTATAACAAAAGGGTTAGAGAAATCTGGTAACCTCAAAACAGGTGTAGTCAGCAGCTCCTGTTTCAGGTCATTAAAGGCCTTAAGGGCTGCCTCCGACCAAAGTAACCCGTTCTTCTTGGTCAATGCAGCGAGTGGTCGGGCTATAAGTCCATAATTTCGGACAAAACGCTATAATAGTCGGTTAACCCAAGGAAACCTCTCACCTCTTTTACTGTTGATGGAATGGGCCACGACTTTACTGCTGAAATCTTTTCTTCCTCTACACTAACTCCTTCCGAGCTGATTACATGTCCCAGAAACACAACTTGTCCTTGCCCTTGCCCAAAAACAACACTTAGATAATTTGGCAAAGAATCGGTTGTCATGCAGTAATTTCAAGGTCTGTTCTAGGTGAGACTTGTGCTGCTCCATACATGAGCTGTAGATTAAAATGTCATCAAAGAACACAAGTATAAAACGTTGTAAATAAGGATGAAATAAATCGTTCATAACAGCCTGAAACGTGGAAGGAGCATTGGTTAAGCCGAAAGGCATAACCTTAAACTCGTAATGACCCGAATGGGTACGAAAAGCCGTCTTTTCAATATCCGGGGCTATCACTCGGATTTGATGATAACCAGATCGTAAATTGAGTTTTGAGAATACCGTAGCTCCATACAATTCATCAAGTAACTCGTCAATGTTAGGTATTGGGTATTTATCAGCTATAGTTATCTTGTTAAGCACCCGATAATCGACGCACATTCACCACGTATTGTCCTTCTTCTTCACTAGTAAAATCGGACTTGAGAAAGGACTTGTGCTCGGTTGTATAAAACCGGCTGCCATCAATTGTTCCACCTGTTTTTCTATCTCAGCTTTTTGGGAGTGAGGGTAACGGTAAGGGSGAATATTGGGTGGGGTTGAGTTTGGCAAGAGCGGGATTGAATGATCTTGTGATCTAACTGGGGGTAAGTCTTGAGGTTCTTCAAAAACAGCCATGTATTGTGTAACAATAGGCTGAAGTGGGGCTGGTATGCATGGCGGAATTTCTGGATTAATGGCTAGGTGTTGAAAACTAGATGATTTTTGAGGCCCTGATGCAACACCTTGTAACTTGTATTGTTTCCCGTCGATTTTAAAGATCATGAACATCTCTTTCCAGTTAGCTTGGACCGTATTTAGTGTGACTAACCATTGGATACCCAATACTAAATCAGCCCCACCAAGAGAAAAGGGGTGAAAGTCTTGAGTGATCTGAAGCTCATTGACCTGTACAGGAAGATTTTTGCAAATGTGGCTGCACCGAATTACATCCCCATTACCGATTTGGACACCAAACGGTGCCACTGATTTGTCGCCACATCTGAAGCATTCTCCTTTCAAGAATCGGTTTTGTTTTTCTGTGTCGGAGATCCGGGGAATGTTTTTTGGTTGGGTTGATGTTGGAACTGGGGTGAAAGGTGTTGGTTTGGAATCTGATTGAGGATTTTTTGATCTTGAAGTCCAAGTACTTTTTTCTGGACGGTTAGAGGAGAGTTTAGATTCAAACTCCAAAGCCAGGCTCATAGCACTATACACTGTACGTGGCTTGTGGATCCTTACATCGGATTTCAACTCATCTTTAAGACCATTCAAGAACACCCCTAAGAGACAATGATCAGGCCAATTTGAGACCCGAGAGGATCTCATAGCAAACTCCTGCCGGTATTCTTGAACTGAACCAGTTTGGTTGATGCTACATAGGAATTCATCCGGGTTTTGGAACTCTGCTGGACCAAAAATTTTTGTAAGCATTTGGGTCAATTCCTCCCAAAAAGTGATGGGTTGGTCGTTAGAGAGCCAAGAGTAAAGGTCCAAGGCATCACCCTCTAGATGCATTGAGGCCAATTCAACCTTCTCCTCATCAGGTATTTGATAATACCTTAAATATTTTTCAGCTTTCAGCAACCATCTGCGAGGATCTCCTCCGCTAAAAGTCGGGAATTCGATTCTGTTATAGGGCCTATATGGTTGTCGGCCCCTCCACGAACTTTCCCCTTCATCACTCTTGCTTCCTTGGGGACGACCTCTTACCTTTAAAGCTGCAATCTCCTCCCTCTGAGCTGCTATATCTGCTTTCAACGTATCAATTGACTCCAACTTTGCGGCTATGGCAGCTAATTGAACGGAAATTGCTTCGGGTTGGTTACTGCCATCGTTTGAGTTATTCCGGGTTTGCACCATTTCAATTCCTGGCAATGGATTCAAATGATAGATACAGAATTGATAAAGATGAAAATAGGCTGAATCTTATTAGAAATAAAGGATAGTGGCCCGATTCGAGAGGGGCACGGTCTCCAATTACAAGAACAAGGAAATTGAAAGGTAATTCTCCATGTCTATCATCAAAAACTAGCCACTAATTTATACTAATCAAATACTAGAATTATGGGTAGAGATTAAGGCAAGGATTCTACACCCAATCATCCAGTGATTTGATCATTAATTAAATTGATTGCCTAAAATCATCCATCATTAATTAAATTGATTGCCTAAAATCATCCAGTGATTTGACCGAGAGGATTCAGCTGGTTTCCAAAGATAGAATACAGCTGTCCCATTTTTGCAGTTGTGACTCGATCTTTCTTTCTTGAGTACACTTTCAATGGTGGATCTTTATCAGATTCACCAACCATACCAAAACTATGTTCTTGTAGATACCATGAGAAAATTTACCTAAAAAGAATTATTGAGCTCCTATTGGCCATTGCTAGAAAGTATATAGAAACATGGAAAAGGAAGATAAACTTATCAGGCTACTAATAGAAAGATAAATGTCCTAAAGAATCTACTTCATAAGTGAAGCAGTGAATCAAAATCATTCGATGTGATAATCTCTTTCAGTTTTTTTTGAAGATTTGAACCAAATGAATGTTCAGAGATGCCTGGAAAATGGGCAGGTCACTAATTCCAACCATTATTTGCATGTTCATGAGGACAAATTCAAATAGATGGTGGAGTTTTCTTTGTTTTGTTTTGATTATGACATGTATCAGTGTACAGTACACTGGCTACATTAGGGAATAGCATGCACATACCACGTATGGTTTTTATTGATTTATTGCTAGTTATCATAGGTATAAATGGTAAACCTTTTTAAAGTTAATTGTTGTCTGAGCTTCTTTTTATGTTTTTCTTTAAAGAACTTTATGTCCAAACAACTTCTTCTCAAAACTTTTTGCAGGGCAACGATGATAGATTCACTGTTTACGTGCATGCCTCGAGAGAACAGCCAGAGCATCGTAGTCCTCACTTTGTTGGTCGGAATATACGAAGTGACAAGGTATCTTGCATCTAGATTATGTAACTTGCGTTCCTTGTTGATACTTCTGTAACATTGGTGATTAAGTTAGCTTTTAATACCAACTGTTAATGATTAAATGATAATTACCTACAACTGCTATAATTATCATTATTTAATGGAAAATTGAGAATATGAGATGACCAAACTGAGGAATAATTGCTTGTAATTCACCCTGATACTGCTTTTTTTGTGGGACGTTCCTTTTTATCTCTACCTTCCATGGGTTAGGGCAGGCTTGAAGATGAAGTGGGGTTGTGTGGAAGTAGGATAAGCTGACAGCATTTGAAATTCTGTGGTCTTCTTTGCGTGTTTTTCTTTTTGTTTCTGATTCATGTGTAGGTGGACTTGCCCTTTCTTATTATAAATGATTAGGAGCTTTTCATAACTGATCTTGTTATGTTATCGGTAGGTTGATTGGGGGAAAATATCCATGGTTGATGCAGAAAAAAGACTATTAATGAACGCACTTCAAGATCCAGACAATCAACAATTTGTTTTGCTATCTGACAGGTAAAGAAATTGGACTTATTTCATTTGTGGTTGAGATGAACTTTTGTTGGTCACAAGTTCTTTTTATTGATTATATAAGTTTTGTTGCAGCTGTGTACCATTGCATCACTTCGATTATGTGTACAACTACCTAATCTTCACAAATGTTAGTTTCATTGACTGGTAAGATTATTATACTTTCTAAAAGACATCTCATATGTTTTCTTTTCCCTTTTCTTGTGTGGAAAACTTGAACACTTCCATTAGTTTTATGATGATATATAAGATTTATATCCTTTGGCCGGCGCTAAACTTTAGAGTCATGTAAAGAATTAAATATCCCATTTCCTTGCCTATCCCTTCCTTTGACCTTGCACTGATGGTTATTGCCAGCTAATACCCTAAATTAAGAGATCTATTTTTGTAAGATAAACCAAATCAAACCAAATGTACCTGGTATTATCCAACTCGAAGTAGGGTATGGGGGGTATGATGTGCATAGACCTTTCCTCTACCTGTACAAGGGGAAGAGAGAGACTGTTTCTGTGAAGACGCCAACTTTCTGAAAATGTTCTGTAGAAACAAGTTTTGTCCAAACTTTTTTTTTCCAAAGTTGCGAGGATTTTGAAACCCACTTGAGAGCACAAGGCATAGGAAAGATTACTATAAAATGAGTGTAGGCAATATCACTTGGCAAGTGCTTAATTTTGACATTTCAGATACAATATCACTTAATCTTAGTAAAATAGTGCCAATTGTATGAAAAAGGTGTGCCAAACTTTTTTTAGCAAATGCTTATTTGGGTGAAACGTGCACTTTATACTTCTAACCCTCCCTCTCTATTTATCTATCATTCACTTCCTGCTGTCTGTAGTTACAATGATCCAGGTCCACATGGAGGTGGTCGGTATTCAGAGCATATGCTACCTGAAGTTGAATACAAGGATTTTCGAAAGGGTTCACAGGTATTTTTCATACATATTAGCTTTTTTTTATTACCATATATGTCTTTTGAACCATTTTGGTTTATGGCCGGGCATCTATAGTAAAATGTTTGCTGGAAAAAATCGATGACAACAAATACAGATGGAAAATATTTGTTAGAGATAAAAGGAAAGAGAAGATAATGAATCTACAAACCAAACTTTTTCAGCATCCAGAAGTGAAATAGACCACAGTAAGCACTTTCCGATCTAAAGGTCATATTCACTCCTGTCCAAAAACTAAAATTTGAATTTTGGGTGTGAAAAATACTTGGTCCCTCCTTCCCGCAAGAAGTACACCATTTCCTTTTTCAAGACTTTCCAAAGCGAAGTTACCTATTTGCCTTGGTAAGTATTGCAAGAGTAGTTATTACTCATTTTGGTCCACATGGTTTATTTGAATATAAGACATCAATGCAACTTTATTTAGGCATTTGGCTAATAATTCATTTAGGAACCATAAATATTTTGAGAACCCTGAGAATCAACTATTCATGATGAATATACATAAAGATTCATGAATATTATTCATCATGATATTCATCATGAATAGTTGATTCTCAAAATATTTACAGTGCTCAAATGAACCAGCCCCTAATTAACTATATTATCAAGTTCTTGTAGAATCTAAAGTAGTAAAATGTGTGGGTCAACAGCAGCACTTGTTAATTTTTAAATGAGTAGTCCCTGTAGTTTGTTGAAAATTTATATTTTCGTCCTTATGGTATTGAAATTACAATTTTCATCCCTATGGTTTATTTCATTACCTTTTTTGTCCTTATGATTTAAAATTTATTGCATTTTCGTCCCTATGGTTTAAAATTCATTTTCATTTTAGTCCTTCATACTTAAAAGTAGTGTTTTAGCCTCGGGACGAAAATTGGAATTTCAAAACCACAGGGACTAAAATCTGCAATTTTTGACAGACCACAGGGCCGAAAACTTAATTTACTCTTTTAAAATCTATGAGGATTTTTATAGTTGCAAAGAAAACGTCATAACTACTTTGAACTTTGCTATTCTTGATTTTGGAAGTACTTCCTTTAATTTCAATAAAGGGATTAAATTCCAATCTCTTGTCCCTTAATCAGAACTGAGGTTGTTTATGCTCTAACCTCTTCTTTTGTCGTCTTCTATGCATGTTTCATTGTGGTGGATACACGTTGTTATGCACATTTGAACAATCCCTTACTTTTGACGTTTCACAAATACCACTTATCTAATATGTCTAAAAGTTAGAAATAATGTTCCCCAGTTCCTTGTTTTTCAGTTTGGTAATTAAATTTAGTGCTACATTGTATTCATAGCCACTTTAAATGACATATATGAATATTATTCAAGACAAAGGAACTCCTTTTCTATTATTATATCAAGATATCGGGGAACCAGATTAGAATAATGAAGTCATACATTGCATGGAAACAGTATGTAGAAAAGACTTTCATGCTTTTTAAATAATCCGAGTATCATCTTCAAGTTGTTGGTGGGGGTCATTTACAACGGAACAGAAGCACATCCTCACCATTAAATATATCGACATGCTATGCTCCTTATGTATATTTCTGTATGTAAATACAACTGAATTGCCCTTTTTTTTGGAATCTGCATGGTGACACATGCCTCGACATGTCTAGTCTCTTCTAACGAGATACAACCTCAAGCACCAAATATTTTGTATTGGAAGTGGTACTGGCAACCAGAAGGTGACACAAATGCACTAGGTCTAGGCCCACTGCCACACAATCTTATGGGAGATTGGCGTGGCCACAAGGGTTTTTACACCTAATGGGCGTAAGAGGAACTACCCTTCTTATTGACAAAACCTAGGGGATTGCCACTGAGCTAAGCCGATGTGGCTAGTATTTTGTGTACTTCTTGTAACTCTTTTGCTTGTTACATACACTATAACGCTACTTGGATAAACATATGATGAAAAGCTAATAGAATGAACTTCCTGTGTTTTGATATCTTTCGTAACTGTAAGACTTATGTGATGAAAAATGATGAATTCATGGTATCAGAGTGTTGTTGACTTGTAGTGAGTTTTAATTGAAAAAATTGATATATCTATATATATATATATATATATATATATATTTATTTATTTATTTATGTACATCTGCAGTGGTTCACTATGATTCGACGGCATGCTCTACTAATTATGGCCGATAGTCTCTACTACAAGAAATTCCGGCTTTACTGCAGGGTAAGTACATTCCACACATTCTTATTTGATGAATGAACAGTCAGACAAATAAAATATTCAGTATGATTACAAAGTACATAAACAAATGATGATGGATCCTACCAACTGCATAGCAAATTTTAGTGTTAGATTTAGGGCATTTTTTTGTCATTATGTACTTGCTCCCTCCTTGCCAAAAGAAATGCAGTATTTCCTCTTTTGCGTTGTCACAAACATGGTTTTCAAAATCGTTCGAGGCGTACTCCTCGAGGCAAGGCAGTCCAAAACCGCTCATGAGGCCGCCCCTCATGGTCCCTGGACAAGGCTTAAGCCTCGATTGGTGAGGCGGTGCCTTGAGGCGTTGAGAAGCGCTTCATGCCTCTCCAAACAACATATTTTCTTCTCCATTTCTTACTTTTTCCTCTTTCAAGAAGATATTCATCTCAAAGGCCAACCCAAAAAGTAAGTTCTTTTTAGTTTGTCCATATTTTTAGTTTATGTATAATGTATTATATTATATTATATATATTTCAGTCAAGTATACATGTTCTGTATCATGTATAATGTATTTCTATATGTATAATGTGTTATGTATGTTTTTTTGTATATTTTCTGTTTTTCTGTATTATTTTTATTTTCTGTTTTCTATATTATTTTCAGTTTTCTGTATTATTTTTCTGTTCTGTTGATTTGGAAGATGAAAGTGATAGTAATTATGGATATGATTGCAGAGCTATACAATTTGATCATGCTACGGGGAACTATAAGTTGTAGATTGATATGTTTTTAGACGTATAACTAGTATTTTATGAATCTATGACGTTTAAAGTTAGGTATGGAATTATGTTTTGCTCCTTTTAATATTTATGAATTTTATTTGTTATATGCCTCGAGGCTTGCGCCTCAGACCGCCTCAGGGCGTGGAAGGAAAACGCCTCGAGTCCCGATTCCGCTTTTCAAACCTTGGTCACAGAAAATGCAACACTTTCTTTTTATCAAGACTTCAATTCAAATTTACATTTCATTAAAAGTTATTTGTGAATTTGATTATGGTCCATGGGCTTTGTCAAATTTATTTTATTAAGGTGTATTTTAGATAATTCAGAATTGATGATTAGCAAGGTTCTAAAAGGCGTGCCATGGCGTGAGACGCATCTCTGATGCCACGTTAACCCCCATAGAGTAACGGTTGTGTGTGTTATGATTCGAGTTTTTTAAGTCATTATTTGACGTTGTTTGACTTTTTAATTTACTTAAATCTGCATTTTTATACTCTATTTTGTTATGATCTCTTGATATAACACCTTTTATAAGAGCTATATATATATGTATGTATGTATAATACATTTTTCTTCTTAAGAATTTATATTGTTCAATATCATTGAGTAATAGTAAAAAACATGTGTAAGTATGTAATTATATATATATATATATATATATATATATATATATATATATATATATAG